GATTGTGCTTTTCTAATAAGGTCTTATCAGAACATACCTAACCATTCAAGCATTGTCTATGACTATTTTGTCACTACAATAGCGGAGCTGAGCAATGGCCACAGGGAACACGCGGCTTGGAAAAACAGAGCATTTTCTCTTATAACGTCTTCTAAGACTCTGAAAGCCTTGTGCCGAGGGTGACTCCCAGAATTCTGCTAACTCATAAAACAGCAGCATGAATGTTCCCGATTTGGTAAGCAACTGCAAAGAGATAAGATGTTTGGTGAGCAGTTTGGTGGGAAGGGAGAGGTTGGGACACCGAATCAAATTGGTGAAATCTACAGGTGACACCTCCACTGGGAACTTCAGGAAGGCCAGAGAACTTTTAGGATCTGCAGCATTCAATTCTCCCTGTACAATGAGGACACTACCTCTAAGATTTGGGGACTGCTTTGATTGTTTGAAATGACTTAAATAAAATCTAACAGTAATTGGTAGATAGCCAGGAAGATACAAGAAGTAGTATAGAAACCCGGGACCCTATTTGTCCTGGGCCAGTGTGAGACCCTCAAGCTCGTTGGTGTGAGACTTAGCAGTGTTTAAGCAACATCAAGCTGCATGCATAGTGCACTACAAAATGGAATAAGTTTTTCTTCCTCTTAAGAATTCTCTAGTTTACACAGACTCTGTTCAATCACTCTCCCATTTTGACCCAGTAGAAGACTGGAAGGACCAATTCAGGCAGAACTGGTTTGGGGTAAATAAATACTAAAGCAAGACTATGTTCTATGTCCTGTTTATCATTTCCTGCCTATGCATAAAAGGGCAGAAATACAACTTAGTCATTTCCATGATGGGAAGGTCACGTGCAGTAGAAAAAAACAGATTATTTAACCTAATTAATCAATCGAAATAGAGAACCATCCAAATTGCACTCCTTTGTAACCAAAGCCTCCTTCCATTACACTTCATAGAAAAGAGCCCAGGAAAGAACCATGGTCCTTCAGCATCTTTATTCTTACTGTCTGCTTGCTGTCTTGCAGAGCACTCCTCTTGAAATAAAATTTGTTCACGTCTTTACGATCCGTGTGGACTTTCAATTCATTCAAAAGCTCCCAAACCCAGAAAAAAACCGGCCCAGGCCCAGACTGTTGGTAACAGTGTCATTTGCCTAGAGCGAAACCATGGCAGCCATGTGTTCAAGACAAACTGACTTAGCAAAGGTATGTGTTCATCTCTTATAATCATCTTAGGAGCTTTTAATACATTTGGAATTATAACAAGACAAAAGGTTTAAAAACATGCAGATCCATTTGAAATGTTAGCACTTGGAAGGAAAAAGTTTCATTGCCTCCTCCAACAAGCGATGTTTCCATACTAATTGTCATGGTGATTCTAGAAAACCCACACCGGGTCCAGCATATCCTCAAACCAAATCCAAGGCTGCAGACACGCTTACTCCTCTAATTCTGCATCCTCAGTACAATCCCTTATACTTCTCAACCCTTGGAATGTGTGTTAGCACATAGAAAACAAGATGGCTCATATTTGAGTGGATAGAGGATGGGTAAGACCAAACAAACCAGGGATGGGGTTAAGGGCAGGAGGAACAGGGAAGCAGATTGATGAGGGCCAGGAAAGTGAGAGAAAGGAAAGCAGGGAGGGGGACTATGATGAAAGAGTTTGATTAACTAGCAAACCACATAAACATATTCTATGTGATCACCTGTGTAAAAGCCCTGTTTGACCTTTTATTGACAGAATTGAAAGCATTTTTATCCGAAATACTTGATGCTTACACAACACCTCTATCCCATGTATTTCTGATATACACACATTCCAAAAGCGATGAGTTATTTTTGTAAAATACAAACACCAAGCAAAAATTATGCTCACTGAGGAAGTGCCTAGAGAGCCACATACATGCACATTGTTAAATATAGAAACTAACTGTAATGAGAATCATTATCGTCTGTTTCCAAGGATACCCGGATAAGCACTACTCCTAAATGGTGGTTCATTCAGCAAAGGGCATAGAGTAATTTATATTCAGGGTCATCACTGGCTGACAGCAGATGTGGAAGGAGGACCAGGGTAAGTCACCCGTCTTGCTTAATTCTGTTTGTTAGCTACTTCACTTTTCAGTCCTTGACCCCTATCCTTTAGTCCCAACCCTGGCCAATATTCATAGGAGAAATTTGAGGGAAATGACTGTAAATAACAATTTCCAAGAGGGGGAAAAAAATTCCCAGAGGGCAGGGCAGGAAGACTTGATTAATGTGAGAGTGGGGTGGGGGCTGACACTCTTGTTTTTCTTTGTGAAAAGCAGTAATAGCTGGCTGGGTGCATCAGCCACATTGGTCACCATCTCTCCCTGTGCCGAGAAAAGAATGGTATAGTTAACCTCAGCTTCTCAGCCAACCATGGTTAGGCAATGCAAGGCTTTTGGAGACTACCACTGATTAACAGCCACGGTCTCCAATATAAAACTCACCTTCGTCTTGAATTTTGCCTTCTGGCATTTAGGGTCTAGACTTTTTACAACGCCCCTGTCCTTTGTTTTTGCAACAATCAAAATATTTAAAACTATTTTCTAGCAACTTGGGGGGGGCTATACTTCTGCACCATTTATTTCTTTGTGTTAGTCCATTTTCTGATGGCTTTTTTTCCGTGGGAAGCATTTAGGTCACCACAGGTGGGCAGCGACAAGGAGTGGCAGGACACTTTGTCAGGTAAATATCAACAAGAGGCCATTGGCACCTAGGAAATTGTCCTTCGAAGTCAAATTGCCACTTACAAAAAGGGTGACTCAGATTTTACAGATCCTATATCTTGAAATTATAAAAAAAAAAATAAAAAGATGGCCGAGGGGCTGGGGAGAGGTCTCAGTGGTTGCCGTACAAGCCAAAGGTCCCAAGTTCAGACTCCCTCAGACCCAAATAACAGCAGGATGGGTGCATGCCTGTAATCCCAGTTCTGGGAGGGGAGACAGGTCAATCCTGGGGGCTTGCTAACCTGCCAGTCTAGTGGAAAAGGGGAGCCACAGTTTCAGTGGGAAACCCTGTCCCCAAAGGGAAATTGGAGGCTAATCGAGGAAAACACTCGATATTGATTTCTGGATTCCATACCCACCAGAATGGGTGGGTGAACTGACATACACACATACGCAAATGCGACACACACACACACACACACACACACACACACACACACACACACATACACACACACACACGAACAGCACGGTTCAGATATAATAGGTTCTTTGACCATCACCTGTCTTACTCTATAAAATGAAACTACCTACAGAGCATCTGGTATCCGTGATGGAAGAAACACTGTGCCTACAAACGCTTCCTCTTCGTGGACATGAATGAGCCTTTATGGCAGGCTAAGCTTCTTAGCTTAATGTGATAATAACCAACAAGCTGGCTGTTTTGATAGTGAAGGTCTTCTAGAACATTCTTCTTTTGCTACAAATGCCACTGTTAACTCTTTCTCAGAAGTGGAGGAATAAAATGCAACGAAGTTTCCCAATAGCTATGTATCATACACACTGAATATCAATAAACAAAGTACTTACAGATCAACTGTTAATACAGAAACTCTAATATCTTTAACATTCTTCCTGTACATTCTACATAATTAAACATCACATTTTATATCCTTTGTGTCATATTTACCAATCTTATTTTTTTTTAAATATCATCATAAATTCACTCAATTTGGGCTTAACTGAAGCCAGTCAAGAGAGTAATAACAGCAAATTTAAAGACGATATGAAATGGGAAGATAGTCTCAATTATCTTGAAAATTATGTCAAAATTATTCTGGCGAGTCATTTTGACACTATTTTCTCATAGGACCAACATTTGGAGATAAGATGGCTTCAGATCAGGTTTTGCATTTCAGGCGTGGAGCTTTGCAGCCGCTCAACAGGGCCCTAATTACTCCTGCTTCCACTCCAGGCTCCTACTGGGTTAGGGCAAATGTACGGTAAGTTCAGTGGGTAAACAGCAGACAAAACGTTCACAAGACACCGGCAGAAAAGTCATCCCCTGTTGGACCGTGTCTTGCTGATAACATACAGCAGGCTTTTACGAAACCTCCGAAGGCAGAAAGTTTACATTAGGCATCATAACTGCATTCCCTGCGTATGCATACTCAACCTAAAAAAAAAAAATCTTCAGCGTTGAGAGTGCCCCACCCACCAATTCAGAAGCCTTATCTTGGCAAGGGGCCACTTGGCTCTCTGTAAGAACCTCAGATGATGGGTTCCCCGCTCCACTGTCTACTACTCCAGCATCTAAATTACAGTACTGTATTTCTCATACGTCTTCGAAAAAATACTTTCTAGTAGCTTACCCCTTCAGCCCCCCCTTTTTTTTTTTTTTGACTTAAAAACTAATTATCAACCCTCAAAGCAAAAAGGCAGTAACAACGCTAGTGAGCACTGTCACGATTTTTTTTTTTAAAGTAGAGCTGTGGCCATCAGAAAAGATTCTGGCTCTGCCACCTGAGCCTAAGGCCAACATTTCCCCGCGTGGGTCTGGCGCAGCTCTGATTCCTTGGCCCAGCTTCCAACCCTCCGGCCTCCAGCGCAGCTTCCCTGGCTTCAGCTCTCCGCTGAGGCTGCAGACAAGCGGAGACCACTGAGCTCCCAGGTTCTGTCCTGCCCAGCGAGGGGGTGTGGCTGGGGTGGCGGTGGTGGAGCGAAAGGCAGCAGGAGTGCTCAGGGCCTTGCGTCCTGGGGTGGAGGTGACCTGATAACCCGAAAGCTGCCAGAGGAGGCCAGGGCAATAACAGAGTGAAAGGAGGTTTTGTAGAGCTGGCTGACCTCCGCTCTGTGTGAGGAGGGACGGGGGGACGGACACCGCAGACATGCTGGTAGTGGGCAGCGCCCAGGGTACCCGGGAGCCCGAAGGATGCGCAAAGTGGAAGCAACCGCGGAGCCGGGCATCAGTCCCGGGACAGCGGGGGTGCTGTGTGCGGGGCTCGGGACGCCGCCACCCACTCACCTATGCACAGCTGGATAGCGTAGGCGTAGTAGGACCAGCCCAGGAGCAGGCTGATGAAAACCACCGGGATCCAGTAGAGCACCCGCCGGCACCGCCGCCGCACACCGCCCGGGCCCGAGGGCGCCATCTTCCAGCCGCACACACCTGCCC